GTTTTTAGTGAAACTCATTGCATATTGGCTGCTAAAGGCACTGTAAAACCATGACTACCTTTTTCAAATAATGCAAGAATAAACCAACTTCAAGAAATCAATCAATATTCAGATGATCTCTTTTCCTTATTCTGTCAAAATGTTCCTTCAGCCTGAAAATGTAGAAGGGCAAATTGGAAAAGGAGAACAGATTCTTGACCATCTTAGGCTGAAACAAATCCTGCTGTCTTACTTTCTACCTATGAATAGTAGTGCTCCCATGAGTCCACCAAGTTTCAAAGACTGTGGAGAAAGGCTAAGAAATACAGTGCATGCCTGAGAAACCATTCTCCAGTAAGCTTCTAGTATAGGGAAGGGTCAATAAAATCTTTTTGGTGGTGGGGGTGAGGTGGGGAAATATAGGCATTTCCATTATACCAACACCAAAATGACTGGATATTGGAACTAATTTATGTACCCTGTACTCTTGACCACAATAGTCAGTAGTGATTTATTGACAAATGACTGAACCTTTTCTAATCAGCTTTGATTTTAGTGCTTTCTGTCACTGTCTTTGGATGCAAATTTGTTAACTGGTGGATACATTCTTGGGAGAATACAGTTCTAAGCACCACTCAAAGCCTCAAGTACAAAAAAGGCAAATCCTGTCTGAAAATGGAGCAAACTTATGAAGATGGAAAACAGAGAGATGGGTCCCAATATTAAACAGTATTGGTGACTTGAATCAAGCCTATTTATCAACACCTGACCAGGCCTTGTATGTTTAATTAGGTGAGTTAAATTTGCATTGGAATTCATCTGGTGGAGAAGAAGTATTGATTAATTCACAGCTAAACATATTCTTATGCAAAAAAGTAAGAATTAAAACTGAAAAGTTAACAAACTTGAAAGATAACTGAGAACACAAACTCCTATTAACTTTTAAAATTATTTTTAATGATAGGGTTGAACATATTTTTATGGAATAATTAAATGAAGCTGATTAACATTAGCTCATATGCTTATTATTTTTTTAATGATGAGAACACTTGGAATTTACCATCTTAGTCATTATGAATGTTCAATGTGAGGCTATAAATGATTATGTGTGTATATATGTATATACATATATGTGTATATATAATACATATATATATATATTGTATATCGTGCTTCATTTTTAGCCAATAAAATGTGCCTTTCACTAAAATCTGCCGTGTAAACTTTCACAATAAAGTCAGGTACCAAACTGATTACTTATGAAATAGACTTGAATATTTACTGATGAAATATAGTTAGTTCTTAATAAAATTATTTTTTCAGGGAGAATTTGGAAGACCCAAGTCATAAATTAAGATGGACTCACGTCTTTCTTTCAGAGAATAATTCTTCAACATTTCCCTGAATTTTATTCACTATTGCTTTTTCTCCTTTATAGGGATAATTTCATTCTTTATGTTTTCCTAACAAATGATCCACTTTTTGGAGATTTCAAATGCATGAGCACAGAACTTACTTAGTATTCTCTCATAATTATTGCATTGTGATGTCTTTGCAAAATTTCAGCTATAGCTCCTGTTATTTTTTTTCCTAGTGTTTTGTCCTTTTGTTCTCCATGTTTCCTGATTAGCTACATTAGAGCTGCATAACACAGCCTTGTCCCTCTGTAACCCCTGTTTAGCTTATAGGAAGCAGAAATGATCGAGTTGCAGAATCTTAGTTGTTTATTGATATCATTCCATTGCCTATCACACAGAAGTCTGTCGTAAGCTTTGGCCAAGCCTCATTTTCCCATTTCCTTGGGAAATTGAGTAGTCACTGGCCTTTACCTTTAACTGACCTTTTTTGGAGCGGCTATGAAATAAAGTATAATCTTCATCCATTCATTAATTCTGCAAAACTCCATAGTATTTAAATTTACTTCATAACATCTCAATGGCTAGTATGCATGAACACAAAAATATAAAATACCAATTTTTGTTTTCTAAACAGGAAAGCATCAAGTGCTTATCACAAGATCTGTGGATATAAGTAAACAGAGGCAGTGAGAAATGAAGGGAGATAGGAAAGGAAGGAAAGAAATAGGAAGAGTATAACCAAGGCAATAGGAAAAGCAGACAGCAAGCTGAGCAGTCATCATTAAACAGTCCACACACACACACACAAAAAAAGCTTGTTGCCTTTCAGACCCGTAAAGATATACAACTCAGACAGAAATGTAGATTGCATTTAGATACGAAGGGAATCTGTTTAAATATTTCTAGTTTAACTGAGTTACTTTTCTCATTTGGCAAATAGGTCTCTTTTATGTTAACATTAAGTGTCTTACAATCTATCATATTAGCATTTGGGCCTTCACATCAGTGGTACTCATAGCATTCAGATAACCACCATGTCTACCGGGGCAGATGCTGCCTGTGGACATCCACTAGGCTCTGCTGTTACATGCACACACACAGCTGAATAGCAACCCAGAGTTTACCTCCAACACACAGAGGACACTGATTCCCCACCTCCAAATTATATTGTACATACATTTTTTTAGATTAATGCTTTTCTTTATATATACCCAAATTTCTCTTTTTCTATGCTCATTCTGGAAAATTTTACTGATTTTCTTCTCAAATTGCAAAGACTCAGTGTGTGGCTAATTGTACAATCTTTGAAGAAGGAAAAATTTTTCCACCATTTCTTTCTGTCTATTGATAACTGAAATCCCATATTTGAAATGCGTTGCTATGATTTTCTTTTATCTCAGTGAGCCGTGAGATTTAACACATTCATGCTTCTGGATGACCCAAGTTTTGTTCAAGAGGTACATTTTGATTTTTCACAAATACTTCAATTGTCTTTTAATTAGAGAGTCAAATTTCCTTTTTTATCTGTTGCTGGCATCAAGGAATCACCTTTAAAATTGACTTTGAGACTGTTGAGGAAGTTTTGTTTTTTCCTTAATGCAATAAATTATTTTAATGTTTTGTAGTCTAGAGTGCATTAAGAGTGCATGGGATATGAAAATAGAGCATAATTCTTTCAAGTTTCACTCAAATACCCATTTTTATTTTTCCCTTATGTTAGCATGTTAATTTTTATGATTTTAAAATGCATTTCACTGTATTTATGTGTTCCTACATGTGTACACACACACGCCTGTGGAGGCCATCAGAGAGTATCAGGTCCCCTGAACTTGGAGTTATGAATGGATTTCAATGTGAGCCCAATGTGAACCTAGGATTTCACAAGGACCCCACTGCAGGAGCAGCAAGTGCACTTAATTTCTGCACAGTCATATCTCCAGCCCCACATCAAAAATGCCTACAGTGCTAAGTGTGCAGCTAGAAGACAGCATTTCACAGACTCCCTCACAGCCTAGAGTGCTTAGCATCAGTTAATCTTAGAGAACAAAACAGAAAGTGAAATTATGTTTGATTCTGAATTATAACAAATGCTAATTGATGAGACTTGGATAATCAGCAGTGAGATTTCTTTGATGAGCAAAGGGATTCTATGTTCTCTCTCTCTCTCTCTCTCTCTCTCTCTCTCTCTCTCTCTCTCCCTCTCCTTCCCTCCTTCCCTCCCTTCCTCCCTTTTCTCTTTTCCTTCCTCCCTCTTTTCCTCTGTCCATCTGTCTATCTGTGAAGTTCATAATCTTTATTTTCTAGTCATGGTCCCTGTGCTTAATCACCTGTCAACTAGGGGATCCACTTAACTTCCAGTTCCTCATTTTCCACTCTCAGAGGTAATCGTAACTGCTCTTAAGGGTGTATGGGTGCAGACTGCTCTAACTGCTTCCAAGATGGAAAAAGGGTGATGAAGGTACATAGGGCAACAGATAGAGTGCCTCAGAGGAAGTTCAGTCTAAGTAACCACAATAAAGTGATATAGAGAGCAGAGTCCCAGAACGCAAGTCAACCATTCAATGACAGTGTGCATCCTTGGAGCATGCTCTGTGAGTGAGGTAGCATTTGTAATATATAAAAATGAGACTGTTAGTACCACTATAATTCCTTGTGTGATCATAGTTAAGAAAATAGTGGGCCAGTTTTGCCCTTATTAGGGGAAGACAAAGGGCAAGAAAGTCCTTCCTTGCTGTGCAGCATTAACAAGGCTGGTGATTTCTTTGTTACCGCTATTCACTACAAGTTGTACAAGATGTGGACCCCAGTGAAGATTGTTTGTTTGATTTAAGAGCTAATATGACTTTCACTGGCCAGCATAAGTTCAGATACTGGCCACTGGGTCTCTTTGAGGGGAACATTAGTAGAGAAAGTTAATGAGGAAAATCCATTACACTATGATTAGTATAAATCTTCTTTAGTAAAGTGAATAGTGATAGTGCAGCTGAGTGGACCATGTGTCAGAGCCCTGTAGATGGATAAGGTCATAGAAACAGTGTTCTCTATAACTACATTATATAAGTTTTATTTGACAGATGAAAATGTAACTATGTAATTAGCCATTTGTTATATCAGGCTTCTTCTGCACGAGGATCTGAACATCTGGAAATTTTGTAAGAGAATTCAGTCAAAGTAATTGCCTCATTTGCAATACTCTCCCAATAATAGACATCCCTGCTCATGTACCTGATGTAATGTCCCAAGAAAGGGGAAGGTGTGGGCCAAAACTGAGTAAAATTCATATTCTATTTGTTGAGATTACATTTAGATGTCAGCATCTGGTTGAAAATCTAAAAGAGAAATATAAGCCCACCAGATTTTTGAAAATATTTTTGTAGGCTTATATAGCAATATCTAAGAGGCACTTAAATATTCTGAATAATTTCACCAAACCCCATGTTTGTTTATTTTTTGGTGCTTTTTGTTTGTTTTTATCAAGAAATAATCATTAGTTAGAAATGGTTGCTCAATAACATCTCATAAGTTTAAGTACAACATCTGAAGACTGTAGTCCCTTAGACAGTTAAAGAAACACACTGGCAAGTTTAATCCTGGCTATACATTCCTGCTGAGTGCTTAAGGCAGTATAGGCAGCCAAAATTCATCATTTTCTTTCAGAAGTACCTTGGGATTGGAGGAACCTCTGGCTCCTCTAGTCTTTCCTTTGTCGGTTAGTCCATCTATGCTGGAATAATTCGAAGGACTTGCTTGACCCTTCTTTCACTTAGAAGTGTGGAGGAAACTTTTTCTTTTTGTTGACCTTCCTCTGTGTAGACTGAACAAGGGTTAATGTCCATTCTGAGATATCTCCATGGAATCCTGGAAAAAGAAAATAGATGATTCCTCACAGTTACAGTACATTTTGGGAGCTGTGCCACACTCTACTGGGTCTTAGTTGACCTTGGAGGATAAGGGGAAAGTATTCACTATTTCAATCTTCCTGACTACATCAGTATAATCCATCAGGTATGATAATTGAATACCCAGAAGGTAGGTTTTACCAGTTTGGTAATTTTAATGAAGGTGTAATATTTTGGAAAACCTTGAGCAGAAATTAAGCACTTTAAACTGAACCTTGATTAAACTCACATTTTTTAAAGCCAGTGCCTAAGTGTTACATTTTACATATCTTAAATAACTTATTCTGACCCTTGTGATTTGCATAATCTTTTGAGCTTTTTATTTTCATTTTGAAAAAGAAAATCTAGCCATTTTCACCTTTATCCACAACTTACTTTTCTACTAAGAATATTTTTTTTTTATTTTTACATCCTCAAATCTTACTTTTAAAAAATAAGCATACGATCTAGCAACATCAACAAATAAAATTACCATCTGCTGTGAAAATTTGGGGTGGGGGAATTAAACAATTTCTAGTCTGTCTTCCTAAGGCCTGCAATGCAAGCCGAAGTTTTGGCTTTACCCAAACTCACTCTGGTGGACCAATAAATTTGGAAGGATTATTTACAGAACATAAGGAGCAAATGACAGACACCTCCTGAAAGTAACCACTCTACAAAGTTTGTACCCTGTATATGCTGTAGAATATTTGTACCCTGTGTGATGATGCATTTGCTGTGATTGTTGTTTAAAAAAAAAAAAGCTGAATAGCCAATTGCGAGGCAGAAGGTATAAGTGGGATTTCAGGCGAGAGAAATGAAGAAGAGGAGGAATTGAGGAGACGCCAGCAGACATGGACACGAAACAGGAGATGCAAGAGAGAAGAGAGATAATGCCATATGATAGAATGTAGATGAATATAAATGGATTAATTTAAGTCATAAGAGCTAGTTCAGAACAAGCCTAAGCTATAAGCTGAGCTTTTATAACTAATAAAAAGTCTCTGTGTCAATATGTGGGAGATGGCTGGTGGGTCAGAGAAAGACTCATAACATGTATATCAATATTTTGGTATTGATTTGGATAGCTTCCTCATAACATCATCAGGCCCCCTTTCCTTAGCCTTTAGAGCTTAGCTATTCTAATCCCTCCCCAAGACCACCAGGCCATGTGCAAGTAAAGCAGAATTGCATGCAAGCTGGGTACAGTGGCTGGACACTCAGGTAAGGGTGCATTGACCCTGCCCATCCTCCCTCCTCTGAAAGAACACTTTCAGTCAGCAAGCTTAGCTGTGCTGTGTTTTTGTTTTTTACAGGCATGGGTTAGTTTCTAAAGATGACAGTTGCTTGGTTTGGAAGAGAGTGTGCCAAAATTCCTTAATAAGGCAAAATTGAGTCCAAACTACACATATATAGATATGTGTGTGTGTGTGTGTGTGTGTGTGTGTGTGTGTGTGTGTGATAATATACCAAATTAGAAATAACCCATACATACAGAAAACTTGCATTTTAGCAAGAGCTTTAACACATTTATCAAAAAGACCTTAAGGTGAAAGAATACCCTCTAAAATAAAGGTGGAAAAGAAAGCATACAGAGCCAAAAATCCTTCATGTTAACCATGTAATTGCAGTTTTAGATGCTAGAAGACATTTATTTCCCTTTGTTTGAACTAGGATAAAGAACTGTACAGTCCATGAATTGAAAGTTATTTTCTCTCCCTCTAGTCCCAACTTGAAATTGACCAGGGGTTTTGCTTGTGGGACCCTCTCATAAAAAAAAAAAAAGAACTCCAGACTTCCCTAATTTTATCAAAGATCCAAAGAAATTAAATTACTATTTTTTTCAATTGTTTTCTTTTGGTCAATTCAGAAAATGATCTACCCTAACTGTGCTTTTAGTTCTGAATGCATGTAAGTAGCAGACAAAGAGAAACAGCAAATGCAGAAGGAAACTTCCTCCAATGTTTTTAACTTTCCCTAAAATTCAGCTACGGAAACCCATCAACACTGTTACATTGGAGTTACTTGTTGAGAAACTTCTACACAAAAAGTCCTTTCCATGAATAAGCATTCCTTTAGCTGTTTTACTGTAGACAGCTCCATATAATAAAATAAACAATATTAATCTATGCTGGAAATACTTCAACCACTCACTGTCCTTAAAGGAGCAATGCCTTCATTCTCTGGCTGATTAGTTGTTCTAATTTTCCTTGTCACAGTCAGGGGGACATCCTGACCCAGGACAGGGGTTTTGGAGGACATTGAGATGAAGATGAATAAGTCAAAAGTATAGGACCAAATGCCTTCTTCAGAGCCAGCTACTCAGGAAATTTTACCAGTATAGGATAAGTTATCAGTCTAATGCATAAGGGCATTTGCTTCTCTGTAAAACTGAATTCAGTGCTTCTCCTGAACAGGAAACTTGCTGTTGAGTCTCATGAAAATCGTTTGAAGCCAAGGTATTGGTCTTCCTTGTCACCTGCATATAGTTGTCCAAGAAAGTTTTATCTGCCAGATCTCATTTTGGGAAAAAGGTTTGACAAGAGACAGAAAACATTTTCTTTCTTTTAGAGTGCTATAATAAGAGAAAGAACATTTGTCCCTGACCCCTGGTTTCTTTAAACTTCATAAGGTCATCATGTGTGACAGTCTGTACTCATGATTGAGCCAGCAGATGTACCTGTCTTTACCGGAGTCTAAGTTGAGATCTCTACTGACTAGTTTTGGTGTGACACCCCACTTGAAAGTTTGTACTCATCTTTACTCCCAGTCAGTGTATGTGTGCCTGTGTTTGCAAATGGAGGTAGACAGCCTGATGCTAAACAAGTATCCTCCCTTCTATAAAAAAAATAAACAAACAAAGGACTCTCCTTTGTTCTTTTTTTGATCAAGGATGACAAGGATATTCAAAAAGGTGATTCTAAGAAAAGATTTGGCCCTAAGGCTTCAGAACTTCGAGGAGGTTGGAGTGTGTCTCTGGGGGCTTACTTTCTATGGGCAAAAGTCTTTTAAGGTGATGATACTTTTTTTTTTCTTTTCAATTTGGCATCAGTGTTTATTAGAGTCTCCATACCCATCCTGCAGTTCTTAGTCAGTTAAAATGGGGGTGGGGTAGGGGGAGGTCTCATAGGTAAAGGGAACATTGGACACAAGGAATTTTGGTGGGCTTTCCTTCTTGTTCACAGACAAGTTCCATGGATTGAGAAAAACACTAAAGTTTTCTTCCTAAGAACTTGGAGTTTTACATGCTCCAGTTTTCCAGGAGGCAAGCTAATGGGGACCCTGGAGGAGTCTTCTGTCATCATCTGCAAAGCACAACAAATATTAGGGGAAACCAAAGGATGGTAGCTTAGTACTCCTCAGCCCAATATCCAGACAGGACATCTCCTGGCCAGTAGTGGTGGGCATGATTCAAACACCCTAGGAATGGTTCCCAGTGTGAGACTGATTCACACTTCCCCATTTCTGCAGTACAGTCCCTGCCAGGTCAGTTTTTGCTTATACCCTAAATGTCATTAGTATCCTTCTAACCTCATCACAGGGTAGATAAAAGTGAAAAGCCCTGAACTATAAGAGATAAGACACTAGTTCCCACTAAGAGTATCTGATGAGAATCAACCAGTCAAAAAGGCCAAATCCTTTGTCTGTTGAAAGCTACATACACTATGGCTTTGTTGTTCCTGTTGTTCACACTGATGTAAACTCGTGTTTCACGCAGAGGGGAGTGGGATCCTGCATATATCCAACAGTAGTCAGGACAAGCAATAACAAGAGAGAAAACACCAGCCCTCAGCCTTGCATAAACTCTGGTAGCTTCTAGCTGGTCACGGGGGAGAGGAAGGGTACGTATTGTTCCAGGTCAAAGGAAAGGGAAGAAGCTGCTCTGCTTTGGGATCTCTCTGAGCTCTTGTTCATTTTCTTAAGTCATTCTTGTTGGCTTTCTTATTATTTAAAAAGGGCTGTCTATGTTCGGAGAGCCTTCTTGCAATTCACCACAGAATTCAAGTTCTGCAGTTTATAGAATAGTAAACATAGGGAAGAACAAGAGCAACCAAATCAGATATCTAAAAACCTTAGAGGGTGATGATATTGGGCTCTTCTCTATTTTGAACCTCTCTTTGTTATTGTGACTGAAAGGTGGAAGCAAAAGCAACGGTCCCCAGAGCGCCCGGCATTGGGCTGGAACAGAAGCCTACCAGCATGGAGCAAACGAGTGTTGAGGGAGGAAGAACACTATCTCAGAGGGAAATGGGTCTGGAGAGACCAGAAAGAAAGAGCAGGCAGTAAGGCCCAGCAGAGCTTGCATCTCCAGCCTTTTATGCAAGCTGGCTGATCTTGCCTTGGCTACAACATCTGCCATTGGCAGCAGCTTGTCTAGCACCTGGTAACTTACCCTTTGAGTGCCCACTGGGGTCTCTGATTTGCTGACAGCCCCACACCATCGCAAGCCTCGAAGTGTTAGCTCCCTTTGTTTGTAGGCCAGTATTGGACGAACATGGCTGAGAAAATGTGAAGTCTCCCCTTAGGAAACCAGTAAATAGATCATGTTAAAAAACATGTCAAAAATTAAGACAAAAACTTAAAAATAGAAAGAAAAATGAATGAAAAACCACCTTAAGCAATTTAAGCAAGATTGCAGTGAAGTCACATGGCATTTGCCTTCTTTATGATGTTCTGAGCCAAGTTGGTACCCAAATTACATGGGTGCCTCCTTCTTAATAAAGCTACTAGCCAAAATGGCAGGAAACCAAAGGGTTGCTTTGTACTCATGGTGAGTTCTGTTTTATAGTAAAATGAACCCATCCCTAACAAGGGCACAAATACCCATGGGATCCACACATTTCACAGGTTGATGTATACCCTTTTATTATAAAAGACCCACAGTTAGATAAGCTCAAAATAGCAAAATAAAGACACAGAAGAAGGAATTCCATGGTCTCAGGTCAAGAAAGCAGCGTTTATATGTAGTTGTTATGAGTAGCTAGAATCTCAATGTGATGTCTCACTCTCAGGTGGTTTCTAGAGAGCAAGAGAGAAGACATTTAACCATCTTCCAATTATAGTTCAAAATAATAGTGAGACTGTCTTTCTCTCTCTCAAGGTTGCAGAAGTGAAAAGAAAAATGTGGGATATATGGGGGCTTTAAAAATTCCAAAAGTTTATATGTCTTCAGGTGGAGAGTAAATCTCCAAGTCTTCCCATGGAATGTCTTGTCTTTCCAGTACCTGACCGTTGTGAGATTCTGTCACTGGGTTAATAGTGAATTTAGTTTCTTTTCACAGGACCCTATGTAAGTATTGTAGCTCGGATGGGAAGGTATCCTGGCAGTCAGGGGGCCAAGGAATGCTACAAAGTCATCCTAAGTGTAGCAGCTTACAGTCCTGCTCCAGGAAAAGGTTTCCCCAGTGCACATATGACAGCTCTGCTGAGGCAGAGGAGGGTTTCCAGACTGAAGTTGTTACCGCTCTGCTCTAGAGAAATGTTACAACTCTGCTTCCCCAGGGGGAAGTTTCCGCTCTGCCATTGTGAAAATTGTTACAGCTGGACTTCCCTCCTGTGCAAGTGCTTAGGGATTGATGGGATTTCATGATCTGGTCCTGAGGTCAAGTCAGGAGCAAGGTGGTTTTTTCTTGGCCCTTTTCACCCTTCACCCTAGTCAAAAAGCAATTTAACTTGCTTTCTATATTACACAGGTATTAGAGTTAGAGGGAGAGATATCAAAGGAGACCTTTCTTGTTAAAGAGAAGAAAATAAAATTGCCAGACTGCAGATGTAACAGACTTATTAAATAAGAAACACAGAGCCAAATGCAGAGTTCAAAGCCCAAGAGGTCAGAGCAGTAGCTAAGAGCTGATACTAAAACCCTTTCTTACCCTTCCTGTTGCTGCCATCCTTCCCCTCAGAAAGGGACCTACTTCCTGTGTATCTGTCTTTTTATTGACTTTCTCTGTTCTGCCTTCTCATTGGTTGTAAACCCAACCATATGACCTCCTCATCACTACCTATCTATACGGACCTCCAGGTCTTCTATGGTTGTTATTGAGATTAAAGGCATGTGTCTCCATGCTGGCTGTATCCTTGAACACACAGAGATTGGCCTATCATGTGATTGGGATTAAAGGTGTGTGCCAATACCACCCGGCTTCTGCTATGGCTTGCTATTAGCTCTGACCCCCAAGCAACTATTCATTAACATACAAATAAAATCACATTTCAGCACAAATAAAATATCACCATATTTCCCCTTTTCTATTTTAATAAAAAAGGAAGAAGTTATAACTAGTATAAGAAAAACTATATACAAAAGTACAATAATTATATACAATACATACAAGCAATAAATACCTAAACAATGTCTAGTCCATTTGCATTTGACAAATTCAGAGAAAATAATTCCATTATCTACCCTATTTTGGTAAGTCCAAAATGTACATGAATTACTTTCTATCCTCTTTTATTACTAACAGAACTATCTTATAACGTCTTCCAAATTTATACACTTACACCCCTTTAGTGAGTTTCTTTTCTGAAGAAAACTCTAGCTATACCAGACCCATTCCAGGATGGGGGAAGCTACCCACTGCTTACTGATCACATCTTCCTATCCTGTAGTGCCTTACAGCATTTGTCTGGGTTTATGCCAGTTTTGATTAGTTGGTAGAACTCAAAAGAGATCTTGAGATGAGGTTTCCAACAATGTTACTGTCTAGAGAGTCTTGATTGGGTTGGTTTTCTCTGCCAGTTTAAGAATTTAAAAGCCAGGACAATTCTCAAGCATTGCAGAAAGCAGTGGAAAAAGTCTAATATGCTACAAATAGAATCAGCCAGTAAACGAAAGGCTTTGATTAGGGGTAAAGAAATATGCACACAGCAAAGCACACAGAGGAAAAGGAGCCCCTGCTGAGCAGAGGGGCGCTTAGAAAGCCTGATTCCTGACTCTGTGTTTCTTACAGCAACTATTTGAAAAACAAAAATAATTTGATCCTCTAGTACAGTGGTTTTCTATCCATGAATTAAGACCCTATGGGGTCAAATGATTTTTACAGGGGTCGCCTAAGACCATCAGAAAACAGAGATACGCCGTGCGGTGGTGGCTCACGCCTTTAATCCCAGTACTCGGGAGGCAGAGCCAGGCGGGTCTCTGTGAGCTCGAGGACAGCCTTGGCTACCAAGTGAGCTCCAGGAAAGGCGCAAAGCTACGCAGAGAAACCCTGTCTCGAAACACAAAAAAAAAAAAAAAAAAAGAAAAAAAAAAAGAAAAAAAAGAAAACAGAGATACTTACAGAGATACTTACATTATGATACATAACAGTAGCAAAAATACAGTTATGAAGTAGCAATGAAAATAATTTTATGGTTGGGGGTTACCACAACACGAGGAACTATATTAAAGGGTCACAGCATTAGAAAAGTTAAGAACCACTGATCTAGTACAACTCAGCAGTAAAGAACAGTTCTGGTTTTATGGGCCGTAAGGTCTCTGTGTGACACATGCTCATCTCTAAACAATGAACACCAGTATATTTCACTGAAAACATGTTTACAGAAACAAATGCCAGATCTACTTGACCTACTGGCTATGGCATACCATCTCTGATTCATGTGGTTATGGTTCTTGGTGGTCTCTTTTAAATCTCCTCCATTCAATCCCAAATGCTGACATCATGAAGTTGGATTTTCTGTGCATTAGTGTTTACTTCTTGTATTAAAAGTATCATTATAAATTTTCACAAATTACAATAATCTGACATTGATTATATGTTTTCATTATAAATTGAAGAAATAACTAATCTGAAATTGAAATTAAGAATAATCTATTTATAGGAGAACATAATAAAAGAAATATATAGGAACTAACCTACTCAAAGTGAATAACATGTTTGCTTAAAACCATAAAATAGTGCCAGAAAAAAATAGGTGAGAGAGGGCAATCCTGGTTCATAGATTCTTTGCTATAAAGAAACCAGTACAGCTGAAATGATGCTGTTATTGAAAACCCCAGTAATAGTTAATAACACTTTTAGTAGAATCAGACCACTCCATTTTCATAATGATATGTAATTTCAAGGGACTTGAAAGAGCTAAGACAACCTGGAAAGACAATAAACTTATAGATCACATACACTGCTGATTTCAAATTGGGCTTCACTGACCTTTAAAATTTTGGTTCAACAGAAATGGAGGAAGAGTGGACAGGGTTGCAGAAAGGGCATGGTGGGGCGTGACTGGGAGGAGAAGAAGGAGAGGAAGCTGCAGTCAGGAGGCAAAACAAATAAATCAATAAATAGGTTCATTAATCTATACTACCAATAGAATAAAAAATTATTAATTCTAATTCATAAAGAACTTATAGATACATTTTATTTTATGAGTAAGTATCGTCAGTTCTTTTGTGTTCATCATTTCTCCAAAAGCCAGACGCAGTTTCTGTTCTGATGTGAATTGTGATATCAGCCTTTTGCCTGTTATGGGCTTTGGCATAACCAGAATAAAAGAGTAGGTACTCGTGACTCTGACTTCCTTTTTGTTTACATATTTAATGAGTATAAAGTCATTTATGAATTTTATGGGTAAGAAGTACTTGTTTTTAATTTTATGATTATCTTTTGAAGCTAATGATGACTTCTGACTTCTGGATTTTACTATGATGTCTACAATTTCTGTTAACTTCTGTGAGCTAGTTTGGGGAGTCATATGTTGCTATTTCACTGGGATAATGGTGGAGTAAATTGGAAATGATACACTAGACATGTGTTTACTGCTATAAGATGTTTCCAAACATGTTTCCTTGCTGCCTGCTTTGCTAAGAATTCTGATCATTTTATATTGGGTCATTATTATCATTTCTCCTGCTGGGTCATACTCTCCTTTTTATGCAGTCTAGGACCCAAGCTGGAATGGGGCTGCCCTCCTCTGAAATGAAACTTCCCGCTTCTATTAACCTAATCAGGCTAACCACCAAAGACATGCCTAGAGGCTAAACTGATCCAGACAGTCCCTCACAAATGTGCTTGGTACTTAACCCCTAAAGGGCTCTAGGTCCTATCAAGATGATAATCAAAATTAACCATCACAGATAATTTCCCAGGACATAAAATTCCATGTTTCATTATAAGATGCTAGCCCCATAATTTTTGCCTTGCACTGTTTCTAATGAGTAAACTGGAACTGGTGTTTCAGTGGGTTCTCTGGATGTCTTGCATTTAGTTGCTTGTTATTTTCCTCCCTCAAGCTATCATGAAGACTGACTCTTGTCTTTCTATATTGGCTCTAGTTGTACTTATGTATGTGTTGCATGCTACCTTCCCATTATTCTTATTCAGATTTCCCCTATCTTGTGTCATTTTGAAATATTTTTAAATGCCCAGCCACTATGTCCCTAAATATTTCATCTTCCTAATGTTTCTATTTTTTTTTTCTTTTTGAAGTTGGTGTTACTTGAATGTGGTCATTCATTTCATTAAACAGATCATGGCATCTCTGCTCTGGTTCCCACCACCCTACCCAATACCCT